AATTTCAGTAGTATTGGCCTATAGAATAAGGCATGAAATAATCTCCTTTTACGCAAGTTTGATTGCAATTTTCCGGTTGCGTTTGCTTTAATCCGATAAATAAGTGATGGCCTTTTCAAGCATGTAATTAACTAGGATTTTTCTCTTTTATTTTAGAGACAAACTTAAATAGAAAATGTAGACACTTTAGGAATGTCCTTTTAAAAATAAAAGAAGCGTGCCTCGCCAAAATAAAACGTACAAGCGGTGAGGCCCTCTATTTTTAATAACTATCTAGCTTTCGGGAGAGGCCGTTTAGCGAATATCCACGGCCTTCACCGAATTTAATAACATGATAGTCTCTTTAGGCGCATATTTAATAAAATTACTTTCCTAAATTCGGGTGCGCATTTATGTGACCCAAATCAAATCTCAACGACGTTAAAATATGTTAAAAACTACGGGTGCATTTATGTGACGTGGTTCGAGACGTGCTTTAACGACGTTGTAATTCTCTTTTAAAATAATAATAATAAAAGAGGCTAAAAGTTAAATTTTGCACAAAGGTTCAAAATGTATTAAAATCAGATAAATAAGTCGAATATGACAGTTGAGCGACCGTGCTAGAACCACGGAACCCGGGAATGCCTAATACCTTTTTCGGGTTAACAGAATTCCTTACTCGGGTTCTGGTTCGCGGACTGTTAAACATAGTCAATTTTTTCCTCGATTCGGGATTTAAACCGGTGACTTGGGACACCATAAATCTCCCAAGTGGCGACTCTAAATTTTAAATAAAATAATTCCGTTTCGATTGTCACTTAAATTGGAAAAACTCCCTTATACACCCTTTCCCGGAGGTGTAGGCGAAAAAGGAGGTGTGACATTTAAGTCTTTATAATTTTAAAACAACATACCAAAACAGCAGAAATGATAATATCAATAACAAAGCGGAAGACAAATCTGATAATTTAACTTAATACAAACTGCGGAAGTCTAAATACAACTCTACCCAGAATTTGGTGTCACAATTTCACAGACTGTCTAAGATTACTACAAATAAAGTCTGAATAGAAATACATGAATCTGTCTTTGAATAAGTAAAAACAGAAAAAAAAATGATAGAAGGAGACGCCAAGGCCCGCGGACGCCTGCAGGACTACTTCGGGTCCCCTGTTGGACTGAAGGCAGCAACCTCACTGCGGTCCAAAGGCTCCAGTACCAGTATCTGTACACAGTACAGAGTGTAGTATCAGTACAACCGACCCCATATGGTGGTAAGTGCGTAGCCTAACCTCGGCGAAGTAGTGACGAGGCTAGGACCAAACTACCAAATAAACCTGTGCAGTTAAATCATATACTGCAAAAATAAAAGCAGCTATTCACAGTAAAGATGGGAGGGAAAAACATACTGCGGAGAGTACCATATAACAACATACTATCAAAATAGGAATGTAAAGAAACCAAAATTTAAATGCCAACAAGAACAAGGAAAAAACAAACACAGTATTCACTTTCATTTCTTCCTTGTTGTAGGCGTGCAACCCGATCCCATTTAATATATCTCATTGCAGGCGTGCAACACGATCCCATTTTATATATCTCATTGCAAGCGTGCATCACGATCTCATTTCATATATCTCGTTGCAGGCGTGCAACCCGCTCCCATTTCATATATCTTGTTACAGGCATGCAACCCGCTCTCATTTCATATATCTTGTTGCAGGCATGCAACCCGCTCCCATTTCAAATATCACTGTGGCGGTGTGCCACCCGATCCCATTTACAAGTCAATATCAGTCACAAAGAATCCTGGTAAGGGCACAAGAGTACAACAACAATATCCCGGCAAGGGAGACAATATAATAAACAATAACATCCCGGCAAGGGAGACAAAGTCATAACAATAACATCCCCGCAAGGGAGACAATATGTTAAACCATAACATCCCGGCAAGGGAACAAGAATATAACAACAATATCCCGGAAAGGGAACCAACAATGATAATCAACATATTAAGCATGAATAAATCACAACGGAGTCACAAATTATGCGTGACACCGACGTATAGATACTCGTCACCATGCTTATACATCGTACTCCACAATTAACACATAGCAAATAAGACACAACTCTTAATCCCTCAAGCTAAGGACCAAACACTTACCTCAACTTCCATGGCCAACTCAAGTCTCAAACACTGTTTTTCCTTTAGAATTCGCCTCCAAATTACTTGTATCTAGTCCAAATTAATTTAACAACATCAATAAATGCTAAAGAATTCATACCCAATGCTTAATTATAGGTTTTCTATCATTTTCTCCAAAAAGTCAAAAACGACCCCGGGGCCGCTTTGTTGAAACTCGAGGTTCGGACTAAAACCCGATCACCCATTCACCCGCGAGCCCAAATATGTAATTAGTTTCGAAATCCGACCCCAAAATGAGGTCTAAATCCCCATTAATCAAAAAGCCCTAACTCTACCCAAATTCCTAATTTCTACCATAAAACCCCTAGATTTTTGGATGAAAATTGATGAAATGCAATGGGAAATCGAAAGAAAAAGGTTTAGAATCATATACCAATACTTTGGGGAAGAAATTGTTCTTTGAAAATCACCTCAATGCTCCCAAATTTTGAAAATATGAAGTAAATGGGTTCTGCCCGTTTTTGCTTCTGTTTTAAAAATGACTGGGCAGGCCTTCATCGCATTCGCGATAGGCCGGTCGCGTTCGCGATGGATCAGGCCCAGCTGACCATCGCGTTCGCGTTCAACGGCTTGCATTCGCGGAGCTTCAGCTCCTAGTGCCTTCGCGTTCGCGGTCAGGTGGCCGCGTTCGCGTAGAACAAATTTGAAATACCTCCCCCATGCCACTAACCCTACGCGTTCAAGAGGGCCTGGACGCGTTCGCGAAAGGTAACTTCCCCACAGCTTCGCGTTCACGAAGAACAAACTGGCACCTGAGGAAGTTTGCCTTACGCGTTCGTGAGTGGAGCCACACGAACGCGAAGAACAAAACCTCTGTGCACCTGAGACAGCAAACCTGCAACTTTTCTAAGTTTAAAAACCTTTCGAAACTCATCCGAGCCCTCGGGGGATCCAAACCAAACATGTATACTAACTCAAAAACATCATATGGACTTACTCATACGATCAAATCGCCAAATTAACAGCTTTAACAACGAATTTAGCATAAAAATCAAAGAAAATCTCAAGAGCACTTAAGTTTCAAATTTCACAATCGAGGGTTCGATTCACGTCATTTCAAGTCCGTTTCTTATCAAATTTTACAGGCTCAACTTAAATCATATATAAGACCTGTACCAAAATACGGACCCGATACCATCAAATTCAATTACATTCATTTCCAAAAACTCTAAAATTTTCAGTTAAACAATTTTCTTCAAAAATTCATTTCTCGGGCTTGGGACCTCGGAATTCGATTCTAGAGATACGCCCAAGTCCCATATTTTCCTACTGACCCTCCGAAATCGTTAAATCACGGGTCCGGGTCCGTCTACTCAAAATGTTGACCGAAGTCAACTTAAATTCATTTTAAGAGCAAAATTTATTATTTTTCACATATTTTTACATAATGACTCTCCGGATACACATTCGGACTGCGCACGCAAACCGAAGTGAGATAAAAGAGAAGTTTTAAGGCTTCGGAACATAGAATTTATTTCTAAAACAAGTGATAGCCTTTTGGGTCATCACAATCAATCTGATTTCTTTTGGATCAGACTAACTAAATCGTTGTAATCGCAGAATGGATCCTAGTACTATATTATAAGCATGGAGATCAAAATTGAATACGAAATAGTAAAATAACCCTATAATATTATTGACTTTTATGCACTTAAAAGTAATATTGATAATACCTTTAATATTAATAAATAAAATGTGTAAGCTACAAAAGTTAATTTTGTAATGTTAAACTTGCCTTAGATTGTCAAAGAATTATTAAGGTACATGTATCTAAATTCTTCACTTTTTAAAGTTAAGCTCTTTAACTTCCCATGCGTGTAATAAATTTTTTGAGCTAACATTTACATTTCTTAATTTTATCTTCTCCTTCCTTTTTTTTTTTGCTTAAATATTCAGATTATTATGATTTTTACGTGCAATCCTTTTCTTATAAATGCAGTCATGATTCAAAGCGGTTTATCATATATGTACAAAATAATATAATTTTTTTTAAATTTTGTATTAATAATATGGGATACACGTGCAACATGTGTGCCCAAAAGCTATAAAAAAATACTAGTGATTCAATTATGCTCACCCTCAACTTGATTATAGATTTGAATTATAATGGCTAGGCCGGCTGAAAACGAGAAATTTTTATTGTAATTGGGACTTTATTACTCGTGTTAATTACTAAACTATATCATGATGGATTTTAGTGTTTGTAACATCTCTACGACCCTTCTTTTCCCTAAAAACTTTTATTTCCGTGTTCATATCAACCAATTTAATATTTCATGTTTTGCCTTCTTCCAATAATTGTTCAACATTTTCTGGTTAATTAATCTAGTAAGACTACCTATACAGTACTTGAAATGTCCATCTCCAATTGTGTGTACTTTCTTTTTTCACCTACTTGTGTGTCCTTGCTCTTGACTTGCTGTTTTTTATTAGGATTTTTTTTTGGTTTCTCACTCGGTGTCAGGTATTCTTATTGGAGTCCGACTATATTCAGATTCGCGCCGCGTAGGGCCCCATTCAGGGGAAGCGCTCAATTTTCCGGTTCGATTTTGCATAGTTCAGTTTGTGTTTTATTTTTTATTTTTGGTTTTAAAAAGTGCAATCCAATCCAAACCAAAATAAAATTGGTTTGCTTCGACTTTTCTCTCTTCGATTACATGGGACTTAATAACTTTAAAAAATTTAAAAAATAAAAATAACGTACTTCAACAAGTTAATTTGCGTGTAACAATTCTTTACCCAATCAATATTTATTCTTACCAAAATATTGTAAAAGAAGCAACTACCTTAACAAAATTTGGCGGGTAAGACAACAGTCAAAGAAAAAGGGGATGGTCACATATTCAATTTCTTCCTTTGGTTGCTTTGCATCAGCTTGAATTTAGAACAATTACTAATCATTTCTTTATCAAGGTCAACGAAGACTATAGTTGTATGACCAAAGAAAATCCAGAAATTCCATTGTCATGACTCCACTCTGTTGTATCTTCTTGGCTTATTCACTTCACCACCAAGCCTTCCTATTTATAAGCTAAGCTTCAACTTCATCAACAGCACCATCCCCAGATTAGAAAGGAAATTAAGCCTCTGCTGGTAGTGCTCAGTAATGGGTTTTCTGGGTATTTGCTTTCTTGTCCTTTTGATGTTGAAAATTGCTGCTGCACAACCATTCACTGACCCTATTGAAGGTTCCTTTTTATTTCTTTTGTAATATGGTTTTCCTCATAACCTTTTGTTTTTTAAAGATTTTATCGGGTTGTTGTAGGTCAACAACTAGTAGAAGGGGAGCCTTGGGCAACCGGACCAGGAGGCCACTGGTTTGAGCCGTGGAAACAGTCTCTTATACTCCCTCCGTTCCAATCTATGTGAACCTGTTTGACTGGGCACGAAATTTAAGAAAAAATGAAGACTTTTGAAATTTGTGGTCCTAAATAATTCAAAAAGGGGCTCATAGTATTTGTTTGGTTATAAAAGTTTCTCATTAAGGTAGAATTGTAAGTTTAAACTACATTATTTCCAAATTTAGAAAGAAGTCATTCTTTTTGGAACGGACCAAAAAAGAAAATAGGTTCACCTAAACTGGAACAGAAGAAGAAATGTAGGGTAAGGCTGTGTACAATAGACCTTGTAGTCCGGCTCTTTCCTGAACCCCGCGTGTAGCCTTAGTGCACCAGACTGCTTTTTTTTTAGGTCGACAGCTAGTGTTGAAATAATTAAATTATGACAATTATCTTAGTAATGAACTTGTTGAGACATGCTCCCCTAGATACGTTGTACAAGCAGAACAAGTATAGAGGACTCATATAACTGACGATCAAACTGTTTTGAATTAAGGCATAGTTGATTGATTAATTAATTGATTGTTTTCTTCTTATAAAATAGTGGATGCACTGAATAAGATTATTGACCATTGGAATTTGAGGAGCAAGCTAAATCTAACCACGGATCCCTGTAATCGAAATGCTCCTTGGGCACCAGAACAAGCTAATCCTAGGGTTGCTTGTGATTGTTCTGCTACTATCTGCCATATTACACATTTGTGAGCTAATTTTCTCTTCTCTTGAGTTTGTGAGTTTTGCTCTTTAGAGTGTTTTTAATGGTTATATGTTCAGGAAAATTTATGCCTTGGATGTCTCTGGTGAGATTCCTAAAGAATTATTTGTGCTAAGAGAATTGATGGACTTGTAAGTGATTGCAATACTGCTATAATTAGTACTGTAATATTATTCTTTAACTTAAGGGAGTTTAGTGAAGATGTTTTGTTATGTAGGAATTTGGGTCAAAATGTTATCAATGGGACCATTCCAGCTGAAATAAGACAGTTACCAAAGATGCAATACTTGTTAGTAGCACTTTAGCTTCCTACAATTTTCCTTATTGTTTTCATTGTTGATTCATGTATCTTTCTGGTTCTTGGAATCAACTTGTTATAATTGTGATTAAGAAATTTATGAAACAGGAGCCTTGGCATTAACAATCTCACTGGTTCTGTGCCTCCGGAACTTGGAAGTCTAACCAATTTGATCTCCTTGTAAGTATTCATCTCGCTTTGAGTTGTATTATTGTCGGACTTAGTAGAGTTTAAGCATTTTTCTTTTCCCTACTGTTGTTTTCCTAAGAAAGATTACCCTTTATACAGAAGTTTTGGTTCAAATAATTTCAACGGACCGTTGCCACCTCAGCTTGGAAACTTAGTCTCCTTACAGCAGCTGTAAGTTTATGTAAATTTTTTTGTTTTATGTTTTTGTATCATTAGTTTTTAGCTCGCGGATGATATACATATGAAAAGAGAAAGTACTTATTCCAAGAAGTGAATTAGCTGTCTTGTAAGAATCAAAGGGATATATGTTTAATCCATTTGAATTGACAATCTGTAGTCTTTGCCACTAGATACTGATAATATTATTGGAATCTCAGGTATATTGATGGCAGTGGAGTGAATGGTCCAATTCCAAGGGAGCTATCAAATTTGAAGTCCCTCGAGATTTTGTACCTCTTCGTCTCTAGCCCTCAACACTAGTCAAAATTGTTCAATAATATTTCAAGAAAAAAATGTTCAACTTTGCCATACTGACTTGGAGTTCCTTTTCATGTTTCAGATGGGCATCTGACAATCGTTTTACCGGAAAGCTTCCTGAATTCTTTGTGAACTTTATGAACTTCCAAGTCCTGTATGAATGACTTTGTTTTTCTGGTTTTCTGATTAACTAGCATTTCTTTTATCTTAGGTTTCCAGATAAATGCATCCGTTTTTTTTATTGTCTTCTGTTTAACAGATTTCTGAGAGATTAGTTCTTGTTAACAGGAGACTAGAAGGAACACTTCTTGAAGGACCAATTCCAAGCAATTATGGTGCCTTAAATAAACTACAAGATTTGTAAGGTTTATCGCTGTTAAAGTATGTGATACCAATTTGCTGTATGTTCTATGTTCCTTCACAGACGGCTATAACAAAATATAAAATTGTATTTAGATTTTTTATGTAATGCAATAATGCAATTTCGGTGACTCGAGTATTGAATTTGGATCATGGACATGATTTGCCTTATGCTACTTATCAACACAAATGAACCTCAACATGCAGAAAGTTAACAGCTTTAAGCTCTCTCTTCCTAAGCTTGGTTTGATTGGAAAAAATCTTTCCAAATCAACGTTATCTAGTGACATACGGTTATCTTGATAAATCTTCACATAAATCAAGTCATCGTCTGTTCTCCTCTTGCTCAGTGTATATTCTGATCCAGTACAGCAAGTTGTGGAAACATATTTTTTGTCCCGTTAACAGGAAATGCTGTTTCAGATTTTCTCATAGGCATTGCCTATTCCTTTTTCTATATGTAGGAGAATAGGCGATCTGCATACTGAAGATTCTTCTCTGGATTTCGTGGAGAACTTAACGAGTCTTTCCATATTGTATGATCTTGTGGCTCAGTGCTTCACAATAAGATTTCTATTGTTATTATCATTGATGATTCTGACGTGAGTCAATTCATATGTTTTTCACCTGTAGATCATTGAGAAATTGCCGAATTATTGGCCAGCTACCAGAGAAACTTAGCTCTTTTGGAAACTTGGAAATTCTGTAAGTTACTTTGATAGAATCAATTGTTAGATTCATGCTCTTTGTTTCAAGCAACGCCTCTCTCTCGCTAAAGCTTCTTCTTCTGACATTAGTTGAAATATAGGAGGCGGTTCATATGTATATGTTTAGATTTTCCCTATACTTGCAATTTCCGAATGTGCATACTTATCTGATAACTTGCCCTCCTCTGATTAAATACCACCACAAAGGGACTTGAGCTTCAACAAGTTGACAGGTCAAATACCAAGATCATTTGAAGACTTTGCTTCATTACGATTCTTGTAAGTCAATCCCTTACTTTCCTTTGAAGTCAATCAGCAGCAAGATACCTTTAAAATATAATGTGCGAGAGAAATATGTCTACATCTGTTGTGTAAATTAAAACTTACTGGCGAAAAATAACAAAATGTTGGAAACTGGTCTTTCTTGTTAAGCAAGTAAAGTGCTTTTAAGATTTGGTGCGGACCTATTTTCATTGGTTCTGTAACGGCTACTATAATTGAAGTTAGTTTTGCATCTCAGATATCTAGGAAGCAACAACTTGAGCGGCAAGCTACCTCCCAATATCATGAGGTCAAATCTCACTGCCTTGTAAGTCTTAATCTTTGACCTGATTTTGCTAATTCTTACTAGAGTTTGTATCTTGAGGTTTCTGATGCATCATTTCATTGTTGACATACTATGTGGTTCTGATTTCTCTCTGCAGTTCCATTAATTTCATTGTTCATCTTTCCTAATTGTTGATTATCCGTTATAAAAGCTCATTTTTAAGCTGGTCTCATGTATGTGAACATCAAGTGATTTCAAGAAGTCCCTTCCCAATTCTTACACTTTAATTTCTCCGTTGTCTCTATACATTCTCTTTTCACTAGTTCAAACTCCAGCCTAACAGAGTTTTATAGTTTATCTTTTTGCAGGATTACTTTCAAACTATACATTTAGACATACTGCTAGGAGGATTCTCAAACTGTAAAGAATTCCCAAAGAAGAGTCTCCTTAATTAAGTTATTTCCAGTGTCAGATATAAGTATTAAGTCGTGAGTTTGCTCCACCTACTCAAAAGAGAATTCTTTTTTAAACCTGGTGAACTAAATGCACCATTTTCTCTAGGTGTTCATGTATGATGATCCAATGCCTAGTTGTACCCATATCCATAAGATTCGCATGTCAAATTTTGTGTCAGCTGCTTCAAGAAAAATACAATTGTATTATCCTTTTCAGTAATCCTCACAGTGTGCATATTAGAGTTTTGAGGATTGAGTAGTGCAGAAGGCCGTTCTACACTTTTCAGCTCACTTTACTCTATGTTTCAGTGTTTATTCCTTACTTCTTTCTTATAATAGTTATTTCTCCTATTTTGAATGACAGAGATGTCTCCTTTAATTCTCTCTCTGGAGACCTAACACCAAAGGGATCAGGTTTATCAATGTGAGTTTAGCTCTCTTCAAACTTTACAAATTTGTTTACGTTCTAGACAGCAGTTTATTTTCAATTGGTGCATCCGTCTGAAGTATTTCCGTTTGGTTCATATGTAAAATTCATTCAGGAATGTTTTTGGGACTGCTATTAGTGACAGAACTTCAGATGGAAGGTATATCGCCTCCGCCACTTACAGATCAAAATTTCGCAAACAGTGATATCCATACATTGTTGAGAATCCTTTAAAAAGAGTTAGCATGACTGAAATAATAAGGATTATAATCTCATTTTGCTATTATTAATACAGGAGTTCAAACCATTAGATAGTTCAGTTATTGCTTTGATGATGTATAAGCCATGACATTAAACCAATTTCCTCTTTTGATTCCTTATTAGACAAGAATGGAAAGTCTTTTTAAATTATCTTAAAGAAAAGGTATGCAATTTATTAGCTACACACTTGTACTCATTTCAATTCCTTGGGTTCCTTGGCTTGGGTCGTACTGCTATTGATTCCACAGGGAACTACTCTGGCTTCTACTAATCAGCACATATATAAATCATTGATTCCTTCGAAAGTTTCCTCTTTTCTCGTTTCTGTTTGTCATCCATCTCAAATATGTAGGTAAACAATAAAATAGTTTTAGTTCTATCAGTTAAAATGGCCGCTACTACTTGCTTTGCTGATATGGCGCATATATTTAATTTGATTGATGTAGCAAGGCTTCTTCAACTTTATCGTGCCTGCAAGGGAACACCAGGTGCCTCGACATAGCTAGTTCGTGTAAGTGCACTCCTTTCCCACGTATGATGAGACTTCTTCCATTAAGTTCCTTTAGAAAATAACTAGTGAGGTATATTTTAAAACTCACATCATATTAGCCGGATAGTGAACATTGGAAACCTATTTCCCATTTGAATAATGTAAGGCCGAGGAAGGAATCTTGTATGAGCAAAACTCATTACATTAGCAAGGGCATGATATTGAAGCTCTACATTTCTGTCCCAAAGATCCCATCTTGCTCAAGTTATAGAAAATTGGGATGTTACATTTACTTATCTTGAAATTCATCAGTCTGATTTTTGTATAAATAGAAGGGTAGCCCTTTTTTAAGATTTTGATGAGCGCAAACAAAGGAAAAAAGAATACAAACTAAAAATCTGGTTTGAGGACTCATAACCACTTAAGTAACAAAACTTTAACACAAAGGTTGAAAAGAATGGAGTGACCCCATAAGACTTGTAAAATATGCTTATGTTTCTGAACTTTAATCTGATGTTGGAATGCTAAATATAGTTTTTGTGTTAGCTTCCTTTTCCATCAACTCTGGAGGAACGGAAACAGAATCTGCAGATGGAACCAAGTACGATAATGACTCAGAGACATTAAGTGCAGCCTCGTTTTACATGAACCCCAGTAATCGATGGGCAGTGAGCAGTTCTGGCATTTTCATTTCCAACCCACATGGACAAAACTATATAGCTGAGACAGGTTCTCAGATCACAAGCACATTAGACTCTGAGCTTTATAAAACTGCTAGGATGTCGCCTAACTCATTAAGGTACTATGGTTTTGGATTGAGCGATGGAAAATATAAAGTAGAACTTCATTTTGCTGAGATACAAATGGATGATTCTCACTCTTGGAAAGGCCTCGGGAGACGGTTATTTGATGTTTACATTCAGGTACTTCAAGCTTAAACCAACTTATCCGTAAAGAATTGGATATTTATTCAGTTGAAAGTTTTTCATCAGTTTCTTATCTAGAGTTTAGGGCAGTCCGGTACACTAAGCTCCCACTATGTGCAGCGCCCGGGAAGGGCCGGACCATAATGGTCTATTATACGCAGCCTGCATTTCTATAAGAGGCTGTTTCCATGGCTCGAACCCATGAACTTCTGTTCACATAGTAGCAACTTTACCAGTTACGTCAAGGTTCCCCTTCTTATCTAAAGTTTCTCCTCTTTTTTTTTGCAACGGATAAAGGGCGAAAAGGTTCTTGAAGATTTGAACATTCAGAAAGAAGCAGGTGGATCAAAAAGAGCTTTAGTGAAAACATTTGAGGCAAATGTGACAAACAGAGTGATGGAAATTCATTTCTTGTGGGCTGGAAAAGGCACTTGTTGCATTCCTTTTCAAAGCACATATGGTCCTTTAGTCTCAGCAATCCATGTCACTCAAGGTTCTTCTCATTGCATTTCCATTCATATCACTTTTAACTCCCTTTCTTCTTTTTCACCAGAACCAATGATGAATTCCCGCGCTTTTGTTTACTTATGGTTTTGGTGCAGTGGAAAAATATGGTGGTTCTTCCAAAAACAAGAAGAAACGCGTTGGAATAATATTTGGAATTGTAGCTGGAAGTGCAGCAGGTGTACTGATAGTTTCTTCAGTTTTCTACCTCTGCTGGGCAAATAGAAAAGGACCAATACATATGAAAGTTGCAACTGATTCACCAACAAAAGGATAGTTTTTGGAGGTTAGTTCCACAAACTATCCCCAGCATGAATGACCAAATCATACAATCACAGTGGAACTTAATTTTCATCATATGATGCTTAGGCTGTTAAAAAATTTATAAGTTTAAGACGTTTGTCGATCAATGATTGGACTGTCTTCCAGTTTTCTTGAGAAGCAAAATGTACATAAATAAAACTAGGTACTGTAAGTTTTTCAGTTGCTGGTATTCAGTCATTTAATAGCTACAAAGCTATATTCCTTTAGAACTTATTTCATAATCTGGCACATGTTATGATTAGTTTCTGCAAGAAAACAATACACGTACAAAAGTGAACAATAGAAATAAATTTCAAGAAAGATATTGAAAAATAAGTGAACTAAAAAAATGAAGTAGATGATTAATTTGCGGGGTTTATTTTCACTATTTAGGTGGAGAAAAATTGGATATTTTTTTTTTATCTCGTTGAGGCATCGAGAAAATAACATGGTAGGAGTGACAAAAATAGAAGTTCCACAATTTCCTAAGGCAAAAAAGGAAACGATCACGGTGGGACTCGAACCCACAATCTCCCGCTCCGGAGGCGAGCGCCTTATCCATTAGGCCACGCGACCTTGTTAATCATAACTCTTGATTAGTCTTTAATATAATGTACTCTTCTTCTTTTTATGGGCTGTTCTTTAATCGTTTAGGTAGTGTGAAGAACATAAGTTTGAAATGGCATAAATAAAAGCCAGAATATGGGTGTGTTTGGTATAATGGAAAATGTTTTCCAAGAAAATATTTTTTTAGAAAACAAGTAGTGATCTTATTCATTTTTCGGTATTTGGTACGCAAATTAAGGAAAATGACTTCTCAAGAGTATACATAAATAATTTAGATATAATAAACATGAAGCCATAAACTTTCAAACCAACAACATTTCGAATCCACAAATTTCATAAACTTTCGAACTGCTAAACTTTCGAAACCGCGAAATTTCGAACCCGTAAACTTTATAATTTCTAAACCTGTAAACTTCCAAACACATAAACCTCTGAACTCATAACTTTGGAACTTGTAAAATTTTGAACATGTAAGCCGAAAGATGAAAAAACTAAAACTGAAAAAATATTTAAAAAATTATTGTTTTTCCGGGGGGGAGTGTGTGCCGAAAAACGAAAAAATAGAAATCTGAAATTACAAAAAAAAAAAGTAAAAATAAAAATAAAAAACTTTTGTTTTGTGCGGGGCGGGGTGGGGTGGGG